ACATGTCTCAGACATATTCCGATCTCAAACCAATGTTGGGAAGGTCGAAAAGGAAAGTTTGTCGTCGCGCGGCTATAATTCGTTGGTCATTCAATATTTAACAAACCTTGAGAATACAAGAGCTTACAGTACGTTCTTTTATCGAAAATATTAGAACACAAGTGTACGACAATCTTCTTATCTTATTTGGGAGAACAATAATTCTTTATCGTTAATAAATTCCTTATACCTCGATATCAGATATGCAAAAGAAATGATGTGCAAAATGAGTACGTGGTAAAAAGATCAGAGTGTAACACGTGATAGTTACACGACATTAAAGTCCATTCTTAAAACAAGGACCTTTCTTTTTAACTTAGGTTAATTTCAGAGTAAAAAAGATTACCGAGCAAAAATGTTGTCAGAAGCGGACGATCCACTCGTGAACGGAAAAATCCCTTCGACAGAAGGGCGCGATCCGGCTTATTTTTCTTATTATGCCATGCTACAGCATCAGGTGGTTTTCAAGCATTCAAGAACTGTTAGTTCCAACAAGTTAAAGAAAACTCCTGGTGGCCTTGTTAAATAGAGAGTTTTGTTTTAAACAAACAGCAAAATATGCTTCAAGATACTGTACGTACCTCTACTTACCGTTCTGCCATTCTGCTAAATGGCCCTCTATGCTTTCATGACAAATTAGTTTTGGACGTTGGTGCTGGTTAGTACTTCCTATATTATTAAAGTTTATAAGTTAGTTCATAAGCTAAAGCATTTTTTACATATCATATTATCAAAGGCTCGGGGATCTTATCATACTTCGCGGTACAAGCAGGTGCACAGAAAGTGTATGCTGTTGAGGCCTCACAAATGGCCGAGAAAATGCGAAAACTTGTTGAAACCGCAAATGCAGCCGAATCTGATGGCTTAGCTAAGAATGCTTTTCTAAAGGATAAAATTGAAGTTATTCAAGGTTTTTTCTTGATATTGAATTCAGAATTTCATAAATTACTAAAGTATCCATCCATCTTCATTCTAATCATAATATGTGCGCTCTTCTTTTATAGCCAAGATTGAGGACCCAGACCTTCCGATCCCCAAAGTTGATACCATTATTTCTGAGCCAATCGGTGTTCTCTTAATTCACGAAAGAATGGTATGATGAAAATGATCACGTATTTTAAAGTTTCAAACATTCATTTCATTCCACCCTCGTAACACTAAATAAAATCCAATATCGTTGAAGCTCGAAAGTTATCTTTATGCACGAGATACTTATTTAAAACCAGGCGGGACTCTTTTTCCGTCAACAGGATCCATATTTCTTGCGCCTTTTTCTGATGCTGCATTGTGGAGCGAGACTATGGGAAAGGCTCGTTTTTGGGAACAACCTTCATTTTATGGTGTAGATCTTTCTGCATTGTATTCTGATGCTAAAGATGAAATGTTTGGTAAGTCGTGATCTCATATGACACACCGATCTATCAACACTTCCTTTTATTTATAATTATCGACCACCACGATGTAAAGGCATGCCAGTAGTTGGTAGCTTTGATCCACGTACCTTAATTGCACAAGCAAACCCGGGTGGGTACGTGGTTGACTTTTATACTGTTACAATGGAGGAACTTCAAGACATGACAATACCTTTCATCTGGCAGGCTTCTTATACCGGAATTATTCATGGAATAGCCGGATGGTTTGACTTACATTTTTCACCACCACCATCAGTTCCAAGTGGTAACACGATTGCAATGTCTACTGGTCCTGCAGCAGAACGAACTCATTGGCAGCAAGTCAGATTCTTGTTGAAAGAGCCATTGGCGGTGAATGCAGGTCAGACTATTCAAGGATGGATGAGATGTGTGGTAAATGAGATGAGATCTTACACAATAGAAGCCGAAATAATGGTTGGGGAAGGTCAATTAACAAATCCAACGATACCTTTAACTTCAATATATAGTCTGGACTTTAATCGTAGGCGTGGTAAATGGCGATTGCACGAGCAAACTTATAATTATAATTATTATCCGCAATCTGATAATCTTTTTAGACCAGAGTACAATTGCCTTTACGAACCAGAACATCCTCTAGATACTACAGTGGTTGTGGAAAATAATTTTGTTGAAGATAATCAATTTATTATTTGATTCAATGGTTAATTTATTTCCTTTTTTTTTTTTGTTTTATTTTTTTTTTTTATTGCGTTCCTTGGTGGATACTTTAAACAATCCATTCTAAATAGATTAACATGAATTGTGAGCTAGCTTGTATTAGTCTTCTATATTTATATCGATTTAATTATTGATATTATATTACAATGTTTATAGATTAGTTACATATTTATTTTCTTCATAACAAATAAATTATTTAAGCGAATTTTAATAACACATATAACAATAATTTTTATAGTATTATAGTGGATTCATGAATCATGCAACAAAAAAAAAAAAAGTTAGTTCGTATTATTTTGTGCAATATTGAACGTATTTTTTATTTTACTTTTTGCGTTCGTAAATATGCTATGAAAATTACCCTTCGAAACTTTCTGAACGGGCGTAGAATAAAGATTTAAATTCGTATTCTATATTAAATCTTTATAAAAAGATTGAACTTTGTCTTTAATTCTCATAATATTTAACATTTTAAATTCTATAAAGTAAGGTGTTTAATAAAGTTTCTTTACATAATAATAATAATAATAATTATATTTGGATTGGGTGAAACCCGCGTTGTAAATTAGTAAAATCCTCTACGTATATCACGTTAGGGGTTTAGCTACGTTTTTTATTATGCAAAAGCGAATTTTACCCTCATGTGATCTACTGCCTCAGTAGCCATTGGCCTTCTCAATAGATTCTTAATTTACTAAGGACTTATTTCCCATCAGTTCCTCGGCGAGTGGTTATGCACTCATCAAGATGCAAAATAAGAAGAGAAAACAGATATTAAAACAAAAACACAGAGGTATAGGGGTTACGATAAAAGATACAAATAAAAAAGAAAAAGGTGTAAGGGAAGTAACAAAAAAAGAAACATAAAAGAATTTTGTCTATTCTAATGTTACAATTATAAGCCTATGTTGGGTTTGTAAAAATTATATACTACTAAATAAATTAGCCTTTACTCTAATTTTATTTAATGGGATTTAATTTATAGTATTATAGCACTATGATACTATATAGAGTATTTTAACCAATTAAAATTTAAGGGTAGGGTGTACAAATTTCCAATTTCA